TGGCTCGACGGCTTTGCACTGCGTGGCGTCGACTCTGGTTTGTTCGGCCCTGTAGACGATAAATCAGCCAATTGTCAAAGCGGAGTGGTGAGCACAGGCGCATATGTGGCGTCCTGAGGTAGTCACACTCGGGAACTGTATCTTCAGTTTGGTCAGGTGTTGTGTACATGTCAGAGATAGAATATTGAACAGGACACGCACTCTGCAACTCGCTATTTGCACGGTTTCGAACCAACCAAGCGATGTCCACCAGGGAAGAGGAGATGCAGATTCTCATCCACGAAGAGTCAACACCTCTGGGTATGGGGCGAGGCTTGTGCGAGCGGCGGCCTCGGGGACAGCTCGAACAATGGCCACACTCCGCCTGAGTTCCAACTTCAGCCACAGCGATCGTCGATCGCGGAGTGGCATCACCGGGAAATGCCGACAGTCACCATCCCGTGACGACTCTCTATGGCGGTGAGGGCTCAGAGTGTGACAAGCCACGAACTTAAATCCTGCAGTGGCAGACGCGTCACGGTGTTTTCTTTCTCGAAGTTCAAGTTCTTCCGGCCTCGAACGTAGGTGCAAACTCATATCTTCCACCACAGTTGAATTTTGCAGCCCTGCTCAACCACATACTTGCTGTTGACATCACAATCCAATATCCCAATTAATCTTGCCGTATATAATGCGCCTTTCTAAGTCTAAACCAACGTAGGGATCGTTGCTTGCTACCAGAACTTTCTCTGATTAAAGATTAGCAATAGAAATACAAAGGTGAAAAAAATAGGCCATATTGCGTCCTCTGCTTTGAATCTTGACGCGGGCATGCTGGGCAACACACGCTTAGCGTGGCAGAAGATTGAAGATGAAACCATTGTCAAACTTCGATCACAATTGAACACCCTCGTTCTCATTGGCCGCTTACTCCCGGAGCTCTTGGCCATGATCTTTATGCACTGCGTCTCCGATACCATGTACAATGTCGCCGCAAAACTATACATCACGCGGGTTTGCTCCCATTTGCGTAATGTAGCACTCGCGTTTCCCAGGCTATGGTCCCATGTATATGTCCCAGACTTTTGTGTGCCAAACCACAAGACTCTGACACGTTTTAGGAATGCGCCCTTGTCTGTTGAGATCTACGACAGACCTGCACCCCCAAAGGCACCTCACGAACACACACTCAGTCTACTGGCGGAAAATCTCTTCCGGATTCGGCATTTCAGTATTTCAGGCCCTCCAGAGCTCGTGAGCAGTTTGTGGTCAGGGCCCGACCGCCCTAGCTCGGCCCCTTTGCTAGAAGCATTGACGCTAACCAGTTACCGGGGTGTCAGGGAGGAAATGAAGATGTCCATACTGTCATCAAGAGGCCTTGTTCCGTGACTCCATTGATTAGAAGTCCATTATCTGGCCACCAATTGGGAGAGAATATCCTTCTTTACCTCCCTTCAACATCTTGTCATTATCGGTAGTCAACCTAACATCACCATGACGAAGCTTTTCAACGAGTTAGAACAAATCCCCACATTGAGAAGTCTCACGCTGCAGAACATCTTCGAATCCCCCCCTCTAGCAGACAGCCGGATATACTCATTCCCGCGCTTGCGTTTTTTCAATATCGGGGGGTCTGCACAGGAGTGTGTCGACGCGCTTGGTCATCTTGACCTTTCACCCAATATCCAACTGCAAGTTACTTTTGATGGGCTCGATATAGAGCTATTGTCTCAAGCCTTCACCCCTAAGGTTTCCCATCCTGATAGGATTCCAATCTGAAGCCTGTATGTTTTTGGAGGCATAGATGATTGATGTGTGGATACAAGCCTGCGAAGATGATCATCAAGCAGTCTTTGCGGCTTTATTGGACGAGGATTCGAATGGTTCCTCCACGTCTAAAAGTGCACAAATTGGTGAGGTATCATGGAAGATCACTGTTCTTTCAGGTTCACTCGGAGCGTAGTTGCTCCTTTGTGCAAAACACTGCCACTTGCGGAAGTGAGCGTCATGTTCGTCACAGGGGGCGACCTATCATGTGCCAATGAGTGGACAGGTGCATTTGGAGCGAGGGAGAAGCCCTCTGTGCTTTGGACCTATAACGGGATATGGGAAGGGCTACTGAAGACTCTCAGTCATTGCGATGTCGAACCCGAAGCTACAGAGGACACGCCTTCATATTTATTCCCTCGGCTGGGTGTGCTCAAGGTGGAAACGACCAGGTTTGATCCTGAAGCACGATACATCGTCGCCACGGCTCTCCACCAGTGTCTGGCAGAACGCTCGAAAAACCATGCGCAAATTCCTGAACTTGTTCTTAGAAGATGCGCCAATTTGAAAGCTTCGGATGTGGAGGAATTTAGACCTCACGTAGGCTTGCTGTCTTGGGATAACTGGGTGAGTCCCACGAATAATACCTCGTCCGACTGGGATAAATTGTATGAATGTATGTGGCGGAAGTTGCATGGCGGACACACTCGGTAGTTTAGAGTTTGTCGTTCCGGTATGGCTACGATCTGTCGCACAATGTGTAAACTGAGGAGAGCGCGTGTGTATATACGTCCGTTGCGAGTACTCGCGTCCGAGGACGAATCAACTGGAGTAATAGTGTCAACTTCCCTCGCATGCCGTGACGGGAGGTCGCATTCATTTAATCTATCGTCGCGTTCTACCAGTCGAGATCGCTCTCGACTTCGAACCACTGAGGGAAGTGACAAAGTCTCGACGGAAGGGCATTTCGGGGAGAATTCGAAGCGATGCCTAGCGACACTCGTGCCCCGTCGTGTTATAAAGTCGGGCTCGCGTGGTTCGTGACGAAGATCCAGTCGTCTGTAAATTGCCCGCACATGAATGGCACTTTGTGGAGCGCATCGCACGTAACAAGGCGTGATGGTAGATCCAGAAGAATTTTGCCGTTAGTCCTGTGTGAACCACGACCATAGGCACAGAACGAATCCGCAAGAATGCATTTTCACGGCGTTGAATCAAGCGATAGAAAAAGAAAGTGGTCTACGGATTCATGGTGTGGGCTGCAAACAGTGCTCTGCGCGAGAGCATACAAAAACAGAGACGAGAGCAATTACGTCGGCATACGGTACGTACGCAAGGATATAGACACTCGACGCGCTTTTCACGTACATACACGCACGCTCGGAGCGCTATGCTAAGCGAAAGACTGTAGTTAGATATAAGCAGGTGGCGACGACGGCGACAACAAGAAACGAGTGGATGCGCAACCCGCACGCGAGCGCAGACCGTGAGCGTATCAAGTCAGTCTGAGCAGATGAGATGGTGGTAAGTATAACTGATGTCCGTATCCGAATCCATAGCGTAGGTGATGAAGAATATATCGTCCAGACACGGCCGAGACGTGTCAAGCGTGCCGAGATGTGAGATTCTCACAGGAGTGCCATGACCATGCCGCCAACAAGTCCGGCGACCATGCTCCCAAAGACGGCCGCCACGGGGATGTGCGCACCCAATAGTGGCACTGCGCCACTGCTATGTCCACTCGAGCTGGCACCGGTTGACGACTGGCTCGTGACCGTGACGAGCGGCTGCGTTGTTGCACCCGGCAGCGTCGTCGTCGCACTCGGGATGCCCGTGCTGCCAACAAACGCGTCCTGTGCAATACACTTGCTCGTCGCCGCGGCAGCGGCAGCGGTATCGGTGACGCCAGCGACGGATGTCGTTGTCGCGAACGACCACGCACACGCGGACGATGCACGACTTTGCTGGTTGTAGTACACGTCCATGGCAATGTTCAGCTGTTGGAGGGGCGAGCACATCGACAAGTCGCCATACGTGCCCTCGGTGCCGTTACCAGCGATGCTAGAACACGCCGTGGAGCTTTCGCCGCAGATCTCGCCGAGCGCCGTGCCGATGTCTGAGCTACCGTCGGTGTAAGTCGAGATGCAGGTCAACTGACTGGCAACGCATGCGCATTCGCCGCTGTTTGGAGTCGGAGGCAGAGCTGTGGCGACGGGCCAGCTGCTGTTGGACGCCGGGCAGCTGACGGGAAGCGAGATCGTGGGTGTGTAGGACGCCTCGGCAAGCGAGGATCCGGTCGCGGTTGCGTACTGCGATTTGAGGTAGTTGAAGTCGGTGAGAGTAGCAACAGAACTGCCATCGGAGGAGATGTTGACAAGACCGTAGTTGTTGGACTGCTCGATATACTCGTACATGATGACGCCCGACCATACGTCGGTCATCTCGGAGCCGAAGATGATGGGAACATCAGAGAACGTACGGGGCGGGTCGGAAATGCAGCCATCCTCAGAGAAGAAGGCGGGAATGCCAAGGTCTTGCAGCTCTTCTGTGCGAGCCTGATAGCCCGAAGCGGTGAAAGAGCTGTTACCACAGAACTCATAGACGTTGATGCCCCAGTAGTCGAAGATGTCCGATTCGTCCTCGTCACATGCGAGGTAGTATGGGAGAGTGACGCGCGAGTTGGGAGAGTCGGTGCCGGTGTAGCCAACGAGCTGGCTGTAGTTGTGAGCAGAAAGATACGTTTTGATATCACGGACAGCAGCTTTGATGTAGGGTGCTGCTTGGTCATTCGGGAGGCTGCTGATCTGTAGAAGAATGAGACCGGATATTACCAGCGGAGGAAGAGGAAGAAGACTCACGACTTCGTTACCAATGTTGAAACCAAAGACGTTCTCAAAGCTGCCAAATGCTTCGATCGTCTCAACGTAAGAAGTCATAAGCTCGGTGTTCCATGACGGGTTGACGCTGTTGATGGCCTCGTAGGGCGTGGCAAGATCCAAAAGAACGTAGATACCTGCCGAGTTAAGGGCGCTCATACAGGTGCTGTGATCGAGACTGGCGTTGACCTGGTATACACGGATGATGTTGATATCGAGCTCCTTGAAGTAGGGAAGGTCGCGAGTACAGCCATCGCCGTTGGCAAGCGGATCAAGTTGGCTGACGCTACCACTCTCTTCTACTGCTGTCGCCTGGCCAGATCCATAGTTGGCTACAATCAAAAAGATGAAAGAATGACTTGTTGGTCGAAAATAAAATACAAGGTAGATTACGCACCGGCGTAGGCAACACCCTTGAGATAGAAACGATCGCCTGTGGTGGAGTCGAAAAGATAGCTGCCCTTCTTGACGACGGGGGCGAGGGCTGAGACGAGCGGAACGATAGAAAGGAGAGCAAGGGGAAGAGGGACACGCATGATGCCAGCCTAGCCAGAGACGGGAGGTGGAGGAAGGGAAGGTATATAAAAGAATTTAAGTGAATGTGCGCCCTCTTTATCGTTCCCAGCACCCTCGGCATTTGCCCGTTGATGAGGTTTCCATCTATGGCAACCTAGCGACACTGGTTGTTACCCCCAAAAAATTCAAGTTGCAGCATGGACAACTCCCGGCCATAAATACGATCGTCTATACTTGCTATGAACTTGTCGCTGCCGGTCTCGCTCACACTTCCATTCAGTTCCTATAAATCGAGCTATAACAAATTTGAGTTTTGTTCAGGTAACTCAACGTCATCGTGCTAATTCAGGATTTAAGATTGCGAGGAACCTCCGCGACCGCTAAGCTGCTCCACCGCCTCGCATACGTGGGTCTCTTCCCGGTCGGAGGCTGCGTGTCCATCCGAGTCCCAACCTTGCTGGATTTTGCAAGCTTGAACACCATCCCAATCGGGTTCCCAAGCTGTGGAAGTCGGAACAGGCCGTTCGAGCTGTGCACAAGAATCTGCCTGTGCGGCGCAGGTTTGCCGTCGAGCCTCATCGCCGAAATTGTTCACATCTGCCAGATTTCCTGCCGGCTTCCGAGTCGCGTCTACTGGTACTATGTATATTTCCTCCGGCGCAGCAGCCTCATAGTAAAACGACGTCTTCCGCACGACGTCAACATGGTTCCCTTGCTTTATTGGTTCCCCTCAGCTGGTGCCTCGTGATCATCTTTTTCTGGATTACAACTGCATCTGCAGCCGTCAGCTGGCCAACTTCATGCCCAGCGACAAGTCTGCTGCTACGTCTTGCAGAGGTTGGGGCAAGTGCATTTTTAGCGAGCACAGCACCACGCTGTCGTGTTGCACCGTCGACGAATCAATACATATAGACGCTTTTTTTAGTTCACCCTAAAGATGAAATTTAAGGACCATTGGTCGCCGGGATAAGTTAAGCGACAGAGAGCTACACAAAGCGGCCTGATCAGTCCGTCAAAGATGAAAAGCCACATGCACAAACCCATTTCGCGCCGATCACTGGAAGTCTTTACAACAAGATGTTCGAATGTAAGGCAGTGTTTCATTATGACTATAGAGCGCGAGATTGGAGCTCGGTCATTGGGGTTAAGAAGCATCGAGGTGTGCGGCCTCGTACACGGAACTTTTCTCCATGTCCGCTCTATCGGCTAGGTCGGCACTAAATAAAAGCCTACTCCGGAAGGATGCGCCCCGCACAAGATTTAGTCGCCTTTAATGGCCAGGTTACATCCCCTGGACTCACAATCAAGCAGGAGGCCCTACTATTTAGCTGGATTTGAACTTTGCGATCCCTGACATCATCGTTATATGTCACAGGCACGTTCAGTCCTTCAACTGATTGGTCAAAGGGAACAGCGTGCCTAGCGTAAGCTCCAGCACACCGCCATCCACATGACCCGCCTCTCGTCGCCGACTGTAGTCCGCAGGGACAAGCAGGCACGGCATCTCAGGTGGACAAAACTCTCCCATAACTTGGCGACACAGGCCGCAGGGCGAGATCGGGACCGCCACATCGCTACAAACGTGCAACGGATATTAGTCCAACGACTCGAGGAACGCTACTGTTTACAACGCTACTACAAAAATCGTAGCCGCGATGACGCCGACGGTTGGTAGTGGCGTTAAAATTTAATCAAGTAGCACTCACCTAACAATGGCGATCGCGAGGAAAGATCGGATCCCCTCTGTCTGCGTTTTCGATCACGACGGCATGTGTTAATGAGTTTTCATACGCTCAGCGGTACCGAGACAACGAGGCTCACTACTGCTTTAACGATTGCTGTTCTCTCCGCGCAGATAGCGCCTGCATCGCAGCCAGAAAATCATTAGTCGGGAACGAACATTGCAAATATGCGGTGTAGGACATATGTAGGATACACACTTGGGTTCACTCACCAGAAGACACACAATCAACACTGCACCCTTTGATAATTGTTTTATCGGCGGAAAGCAGTGCTGCCCCAACCGGGAAGCTAGGGTGATATGTCAGGCTGTATGCGTGTTTCTTGGCTACAAACCCGATCAGTACCAACATCCAAATTGACAATGTAATATAGCCCATTCTACGATCTTGATCGGAATTGACTGAGCGACATACCTTCAAATGCCGCCACGATGAGATTTTCTCGCTCCGTAGTCGTGATTACACAAGACGATATCGGCTTCAAGTCCATTTGTGATGCAAAAAGACTACCTGCAAGTTGAAGTGGCCGGGTAGAGCGAAGAAGGACGAGCGCCTGCGCCATCGCAAAATTTCAAATTTCAAACCATTTATAGCTGACAATGGTGTCTCAGCCACAGGCAGCTCAACGGGTTAGCGAATAAGATTTCTCAAAATCAATTGACATCGCACACACGTACGAAAACTAAAATAAACAACTAATACCCTACTGCTTGAGGGTTTGGCATAAATTATATATGCAACATTACCACATACGATTCCACGAGCAAAGACTAAGCACATGCAGAACCCCGATCGCTCGTCGAGAATTCGAGATATTGAGATCGTAGGCCTGAGTCGATTTGTACGCGAACAATTGCTGTTAATACGTGGATAACACGATTAGCGCAAGACTAAATGCCATCTGTCTGCAGAGGTCCTGCAAAAACAGGGATTTACGACAGGGTGTGCACGATCGCTTCGAACGTTGTGAATGTGACCATGTTCACCGGGATGGCTCTACATGATTAAAGGGAAACTCTGTGAGACACGTAAGACTCACAGTATAAGTCCGAATTAACATACCGAATGAGTGTCGGCGCCAGCCCACGGAAAAACACAGCAAGACCCCCTGCGCGATAGGACGCAGCGATAGTCGACCATGTCGTCCTATAGGGATTATCATACGCGGTGCTATGCGTGCTCTGCACGCGAGTCTTCACCACATCAAACGGAAATGTCGCTACCCACCCCGCGATGCCCGCCAATCCGCCAGCGCAAAGCATAGCAGACCACGGCGCTGCAGTGGGACCTTCGTCAGGCGACTCGGAACACGGCCAGAAGCGCATT